ATCAATTAGAAGTACAATTTGTCAAATGGATCAAAATTTTGTTAAATAGGACCAATATTTGACAATTAGAAGTACAATTTGTCAAATGGATCAAAATTTTGTTAAATAGGACCAATATTTGACAATTAGAAACCAAATTTATCAAATTCAAACAATATTTGTCAAATAGAATCAAAATTGAATCAAATAGGCAAATTAATATCAATTAAGTAAATCCGAATAACCATGAAATTTGTCATTTAGTTTTTGAATTTCTTTCGAAAACAGAAGAGGAAAAAAGCCACCTGTTAAAACAATGCCATTCACAACAAGTTTACGTAGCGGTTCCTCGAGTTCGAGCGAGTCAAGAACTCCAATCGATGACAATAATGAGAAACCAATCATCACCGCCACGAAACTTGGCATTCAACACTTGGAAAGTGCCCTGAACAACGGAAATCTCATCCGACGGCCACCACTTCCACCCAGTAATTTTCAAACGAAACCCCTCAGCAAGATAGCAGTTATCAGACCAAACTCCTCAACGAGAATACTCAGCAGAAGTCCCTCACCTAGTTTCACGACAACCAGTCGAAGTTTCTATCCCTCAAATAATTCATCTCTGACAAATTCACCGAAATCCACATCCTATTATCCATCATCAGCCTCGTCATCATCATTATTATCGTTTCGTCCAATAGGCAAGAATTTCATCAAATCACCAACGCCACGACGAATTTTCCCTCAAGAATCATCAACCAGTGGCTATGATCACATTGAAATGGAGAGAAAAGAACAGGCGCCGGTTGTATTTGATGCGAGTTTGAATTTTGTATTGGGACTTGATAAGCAACAAGTTAGACAGTCGTTCAAGCCGACAGCATCGCATCTTGAAGCTGAGACGGCGTCGAATTTACTCAGTTCGAGGATTTCGCAATTTTTACAACGAACCGATCATATTATGGATGAATGGCGGCGAATTGGTCATAGAAATGAATCGAATGAGATGATTGATTATAGGAATAAGGATTTATTGAAGAGTCGAAGTGCGACGAATATTATGATTAAGGGATTTCAGTATTTTAGTCGATCGAATAGTGGTGGTGGAGGGAATCGTAGTCGTTCTCGATCGATTTCGAGATTTTCTGAGGATACACTTTCCATGTGCAATGGAGAGGTCAGATTTTTTTAATTAATTTCTTATTTAGATAATAAATAAATAATAATAAATAAATAAATAAATAAATAAAAAATAATAAGTAAATAATAATAATTAATAGGGTTGCCAAAGGTCAGGGAAGTCAGGGAAATTAGAATTGGTCAGGGAATTTTATTAAAAGTACTGGAAAATATTAAATTTTTAGAATTTATAAGAAAATTCTGAATTTTGGTGTCTATTTTGTTTGCCTCGTAAACTATCTTAAATTACCACGAATTCGAATAGAAAACCTTCAATTTTTTCTATTTCTGACAATAATAATTTATTTTTAAATAACTGACAAACTATCATAAAATTATTACTTATAAATTATTTAATGAATAATTTTACTTAGAAATTTTAATTAATTAATTGGATTTGAAAAGAGATGCGTTTACAATCATCATAAATAGATGAACTTCAAAAGGTTTCAATTTGAAATTTTAGAAAATATCAATTTTTAATTAATTTAAAATTTTAAATAGGAATTTTAAAAACAACTGATTACAGAAATTCAATCATTTTCAAAAGTGATAAACTTCTTAACAAAATTTTAATTATTATCAAAAAATTTTCCTCATTTCAAATATTTTTAATATCTACTATTTTAATCCAATTTTCTAAAAATTAAATTATTTAAACCAAATTTTAATAAAAATTTCACAGGAATTAAATTACTTACCAATTTTTTTTTATAAATTTCTTCGCACCAGTTCAATTATTTCGAAATTATAAATGCTTTATAATATTTGAAAAATTTTAATAAAATTGATCATAGAATTCAATTATTTTCGTAAAATATATAACACTCTTCCTAGGAATACAATTATTTTGTCAAAAATGTTTGTAAAACTCTTTGAAACAATTCAATTATTTGCGTAAAAAATAAAATTCTTCGAAGCAATTCAATTATTTAAGAAATTTTAATAAAATTCTTCCCAAGAATTCAATTCTCTTCAAAAATAAAAATTTTTCACAGAAATTAAATTTAAAAAAAAAAAATTTAATAGAATTCTTCGTTAGATTTCAATTATTTTCAATTCTGAGTTTTGAGAAATTCAATTATTTAAACAAATTTTTAATAAAATTTGTTGCAAGAATTCAATTATTTTCATAAATAATAAAACTTATCGCAGAATTAAAATTATTTTTTATGCAATTTTTAAATAAACTGATAGAAAATTGTATTTATTCTTAAAATTACTTTTTAAATTCGTCGAAAGAATCCAATTACTTTTAAAAATTTTGATAAAATTCTTCATAAAAATTCAATTTTAAAAAATATCTATTTAATTATTTAATAAATTATTTATCTTTCTATTGAAATAATTGAATTCTCAAAAAATTTTCTAATAAAAATTGATTAAAAAATGAATTATAGAAAATAAAATATTTTATATTATTTATTTTCTATTAAAATTAATTGAATTCCTGTGAAGAATTTTATTATTAATAAAAATAAATTAATTCTTGCATAGAATTTTATTACAATTTTTGAAAGTAATTACATTTTTTCGAAGAATGTTCTTCAAATTTCTAAAAATATTTAATTTATTTCGAGAAATTATATAAAATAGTATTGGTATTGGAAATAATTGAATTATTTCGAAGAATTTTAATAAAATATTTAAAAAGAATTGAATACTTTTGATTAATTTTATTATAATTATTGTAATAGATGTTGAAAGTTTCATGTAAAGAATTTTATTATTTATGAAAATATTAAATTTTTTTGAGGACTGTAATAAAAATTTAATTAAAAATAATTAAATTCTTATAAACAAATTTTATCAAAAGTTTCGAAAATAATATTAATTTCTTTTATAGAATTTTATTAACACCTACAATATTTAATTTTTTTATTAAATTTTTATTTTTAAAATTTTATTTTGAGAGCAGACAAAAAAATATAGAATAAATGAAACGTTAGATAATTTTTTTTATTATTTATATCTTATTGTCAAAATTTAAGTCTGAGAGTAGAAAAAAAAATTCAAAATAGAAACTAAACGATAAGTTATATAATAAAAAAAATTACTAAAATAAAAATTTGTTCTAGGTGTACAAACAAAAATTAAATATTGAAAATAAAAATCAAATAACAAAATATAAAAATTTATGTTAACTGTAGAAAATAGAATTTGAAATAGAAAATAGAATTATTTTTTATATTACATATCTATTTTCTAAATTTAATTTAATTATTAAAATTTTTTGTTTCAGCAAATTTTTATTATAGACAATTTTTTGTTCTCTACTTTTTTTCGGAATTTAATTCTGAAAGTAGAAAAAAAAAAGATTAAAAATAAAATAACAAATTATTTGCAGCATAGAAAATAGAATAAATTAATTGTCTTAACAATTTTTTATTAACTATTTTCCATTTTCAAAATTAAATGCAATTTTAAAAATTTTTACTTCAGCAATTTTCTCTAATTTGTTTTTTATTTTAAAAATCCAATCCGAAATGTGGAAAAGAAAATTAAATATTCAAACTAGAAAAGAAATAAAAAATCAGATAATAAAAATTTGCTAAAATAAAAAATTAGTTTTCAGTACAGAAAATGGAATTAATTTTGGAAAATAGAAAATAGTTATTATAGTAATTAGATCATAAAAAAATTATTGAAGTAAAATATTTATGCTAAGTGCAAAAAATAGAATTGAATTTTAAATCTTTTCATAAAGTTCATAAATGCAATAAATTTTTAAAAAGATCAAACGATTTAGGAGAAAAACTATTTTTCTTGACAAATTTTCATAAATTTTCTCTTGGAAATTTTTTTAATTAATTAATTAATTTAATTCTAAAGAGAAAAATTTTATTATTTTCCGTTGAAAAATAGTTTTTCCTCTCAATCGTTGATTTATAAACGTGGTGAACTTCAGAGACAATTTTAAAAATAGAAAATAGTTACCTTAGCAAATGTTTTGTTACATAATTTTTTGTTATCTATTTTCAAGTTTCAAAATGTAATTCTAAGTGAAGAAAAACAGAAGTAAATTGTGTTTTTAAATAAAATACAATAAAATAAAAATTAACTTTGCAAGTGAGAAAAAATAATAGAAAATTAAATAAATTAAAAATTAATTTTACAAATGGATAAAAATAATAAAAAATTGCTAAAATAAAAAATATACATATATTCTAAAAATAAGTGTAGAGAAACCGTTAAATATTAAAAATAGAAAACAGAAAATTAGAGAGTAAAAATTGCTAAAATAATAAATTTTTTCTAAATCAAGAAAAAAATACCTTTTTTATTTTATCAATTTTTTGCTAGCAAATTTTTTGAATTTATTTTTCATTATTAAAATTATAAATCTCTAAGTGTAGAAAATGTAATTAAAATATAAAAATAGAAAAATGCTAATACAAAATTTCTTTATGGAAAAATAAAAATAAAGAAAATCCTAATATTGAAAAATAGGAAATAGATGGTAATAAGGAATTAAATAATAAAAATAGATAATAAAAAATTAGTTAATAAAAAATGAGATAATAAAATTTTTTGAAAATAAAAAATCCATAAAAAAATTCATAAGCGTAGATTACAAAATTAAATTTTGCCGAGAAAAAATAGACGAACAAACAATTAAATAATATCTAAAGTAGAAAAATATTTCAATTTTTCTCTATACTGAATTCATGAGTTTTTTTTTCTACTGAAAAGAAAAAATTATTTTCAAATTAATTAAAATGATAATTAAACGTTAAATGAAAGATAATTAAAAAAGATTAAAAATTCTGTTAAGAAGTATATTAAAAGCAAGTAGATCATGAGAATATAATTAAAAAAAAAAAAAATCTTGTCTGTTACAGTTGAGTGAGATGACAGCAGATTTTGCTGAGGAGCATTCCACATCAACGTTGGCAGCTGAGCGAATTGATGCCGAGACATCGGAACGTCTTCGTTTGGAACGAGAACTCCAGGATGTCACGGAGGCCAATAAAAATCTTCAACAAGCAACAGAACGTTTGGAAATGGAATTACTTTACGCGAGAGCAGCCGATTTAAATGGACTCGCATCGGATGGTGAGGACGGCGAAGATGGTGGTGTTTATAAACAAAGATATGAGCACGCAATGCGGGAATTGGAATTTTTTAAAAGAAAAATGGCACAACAGCACGAGGACGATCTCGAGCAATTAGTTGGACTCAAAAAACAATTAGAAAAGAAGGTATACTTTTTAAAAAAAAAATTTTTTTTTAAAAAAGGTATAATTTTTTATTTATACAGATGCGTACCTAATAATTTAAATTTTTGAAATTTAATTATTAAAAATCGATTATTCGAAATTTTTTCCCTATTCGATTTTTTTCGATTTTTTTCTACTTGTTTTCAACAAGTAGAATTAAATTTTGAAAAATATTCATTAAGTTCATAACAAATTTTTTAAAGATCAAACGATTTAGAAGAAAAATTATTTCTTGAAAGAAAATACAGAAAATTTTGTACAGATTTTTCTAATTCGAAAAAAAAAATTCTAAAGAAGAAAATTTTATTGTTTTCCGTGTGAAAAATATTTTTTCTTTCAATTGTTAATTATTATAAACGTTTTAAACTTTACTGACAATTTTAAAAATAGAGAATAGTTGAAAAAAAAATTATAAATAATAAAGAATTGATAAAATAATAAAATAATCTATTTTCTATTTTAAAAATGTAATTCAATTTTTAAACTTTATTAAATTGAATTAATAATACTGTTATAATTAATTTAAATTTATTAATATTATAAATATATTTATTATATTATATTATTATTAGTTTGTTGTTAGCTATTATCTATTTTCAAAATTTAATTATTTTAATTTAGTTTCAATTTTTAAAAATCGATAATTAGCCATTATTTCGCTATTCGATATTTTTTTTGGTAATAATTGGAAACAATTAGAAAAAAATATAATTGTAAACAATATTAATTTTATTTTATTTATGTACGGGAAATGTAAAAGGCCGAAAGGTCATACATATGAATCCAATAAAATAAAATATTAATTTTATTTTTGACAAATCATGATTATTGAATTCTATTAAAACTTTTAGGAAATAATTAAATTCTTCGAAGAATTTTATTACAATTTTTAAAAATAATTGAATTCTTTAAAAAAAACTTCTTTGCATTTTTATTATAATCGATTTTGTTAATAATTGTAATTCATAATTTTACTATTAAATTTTATTGAAATTATTGGTTAAAAATTAAATTTTTTTAAACAGTTTTATTAGAGTTTTGTAAATAATTAAATAGGTAATTTTAAAAAATTTCTTTAAGTTTTTAATTGACTTAAACGAACAATGTTTGTCAATTTTTTAAAATAATTGTGTCTGTTAATAATTATAATAATTAAAAATTTGATTATTGAATTTTATTAAAATTGTATGGAAAATAAAATTCGTTTTGGAAAATTTATTAAAATTCTAGTAAATTATTGAATTCTTTCGAAAAATTTAAAAAAATAATTCAATTTTTTTGTGAGAAATTTTATTTAAATTGTAATTAAAATAATTGAATTCCTGTAAAAAATTTTACTATTTATAAAAATAATTGAATTTTCGCGATGAATTTCTTCAAATTTTTTGAAAATAATTGAATTAGTCAAAGAATTTTTTTCGACTTTTTAAAATAATCGTGTCAGTTAATAATTATAATTAAAAATTTTATTCTTGAATTTTATTAAAATTGTATTGAAAATAATTGAATTCCTAAGAAGAATTTTATTATTTATAAAAATAATTGAATTGTTTTGAAGAATTTATAAAAAATTTTTAAAATAATTGCATCCATTCCTGAATTTTTATTATAATTGAACTAAAAATACTTGATTGCTGCAAATCATTTTATCATTTATAAAAATAATTGAATTCTTCCGGAGAACGTTTTTATGAAAATAATTGAATTCTTGCAAAGAATTTGATTAAATTACAGGGTTGCCACAGGTCAGGGAAATCAGGGAATTCAATTATTTAAAATACAAAATTTCATAAAATTTTTCGAAAAATATCAATTATTTAAAAAGATTTTTATAAAATTCGTCGCAAGAATTCAATTATTTTTATAAATAATAAAATTCTTCACCGAAATTCAATTATTTTTATAAACTTGAATAAAATTCGTGGCAAGAATTCAATTATTTATATAAATAATAAAATTCTTCACATAAATTCAGTTATGTTTATAAACTTGAATGAAATTCGTTGGAAGTATTAAATTATTTTCAAAAGTAATAAAATTCTTCACAAAAATTCAATTATGTTCAAAAATTAAAAAAAAATTCTTGTCAAAATTTCAAGTATCATTATAAATAATAAAATTCTTCTCCGAAATTAAATTATTTTAGAAAAATTCTAATAAAATTCTAGGAAAAATTTTAATTATTTTTATAAATAATAAAACTCATCGCAGGATTTTAATTATTTTTTATACAATATTTTAATCGAATTTTTCGAAAAATGTCATTATTCTTAAAAATCTTATTAAAATTGTCAAAAGAATTCAATTATTTAAAAATTTGTTATAAAAATTCTTTATGAGAATTCAATTTTAATGTAAATAATTCAATTCTTCTACAATTTTCTAATAAAAATTGATTTAAAAATGAATTTATTACCGAAGAATCTATTTATTATTATTTATGAAAATAATTGAATTATTGCAACGAATTTTATTACATTTTTTTTTAAATAATTGAATTTTTTTGAGAAATTTTACTACTTGTAAAAATAATTAAATTCTTGAGGAGGATTTGATTAGGATTTTTGTAAATAATTAACTTTTTTGAGTATCTAATAATTTTTAGAGTGAATCAGAATATTCTTTAGAGTCAGGGAAAATGTGAAAATTTGGCTAGAATCCAGAGAAAAGTAAGGGAAAAATAAAATTAAATATTTGTGCCAACCCTGAAATAATTTAAGTCTTGTACAAAAAATTTTATTAAAATTTTTGAAAACAAACAATAATATGCAATTAATTAGCAATTTTTTTTTCTATTCGGTATTCTTTTCGATAGCAATTGAAAAATTAAATTATAAATTAAATTATAAATTTTTCTCGGAAATTTAAAGTAGTTTTTAGAAAATTTTTAACTAAGCGGAAAATAATAATAGTAACAATAATAGATAGTAATAATAATGAATAGTAATAGTAATTAATAGTAATAATAATAAATAATAAAAATAATTCATAGTAATAAAATAAATAGTGATAATAATTAATAGTAATAATAATAAATAGTGATAAAAATTCATAGTAAGAATAATAAATAGTAAAAATAAATAATAAACACTCATAATAATACACAGTAACAATAATAAATAGCAATAGTAATAATAGATTAGTAACAATAATACAGAGACTATTTTTGATGATGATGATGGGGTAAACAAAATTGTGACTCAGCAGCGAATGATTAATTTTGTAGTTCGGAGAGTAGGACGTTTATTTGTACTAGTTACGAGAATAACGGTGTTATTTACTATTTACGGGTGCGGTTAATTGAGACCAGTTAAAAGAGTTGGTTGTTTCGCTATTGCAGTTGGCTGATTCCTACGAGGAAATAGAGGAGCAACGTCAAGTTGTCGGCCAGTGGAAACGCAGGGTTCAAAAATTAAATGGAGAAATGCACGATCTTCGACTTCTCCTTGAAGAACAAACGGCGAGGAATAATTTACTTGAGAAGAAACAGCGCAAGTAAGACTTCAATCCATTTCATTTCATGTTCATTCAAAAATCACCAGTGAGAGGAAAAAGAAAATTTTAATTTTGTTCTTTTGAAATTTCAATTTTTAATTTCTCAAAGAAAAAATCGAAAAAATTATCATTTTTGATGGGAGAGAGTAAAAAAAAGCAATTGTCGAAAATGGTAAAGATAAAATTACAATTCAGAAAGTATTTTTTCTTTACAGAATATTTTTTTACGATGTAATTTTTTTTTTAATAATTGTAATGATTTTTTTTATCATTGTAATTTTTTTTTTAATTATAATTTTGAGTCGTTAGTCAATTGATCCGACGACGTTAATCATTGAAATTTTTTTTATTAAAATTTTTGTTATCACTGCAATTTTTTTTAGTATTGTAATTTTTTTTCCACCATTGCAATGAATTTGAACCCCTTTGCCTTTGGAATTGTCGACATTGCCGGTTACTATTCTCATTGCATTTAAGCTTCAACAAGTGTTTGGCATAAGGCCAGATCGGCAACCTATGGGTCCGAGCCAACACGAAATAAATTAAATATTATACAAGTTGATACTAAGTTGAGGTCTGTACTTCTGGGAAATCACTTACTAACACTGTCAAAAAATTCTTATTTAGATTCGATTCGGAGACGCAAAATTTGATGGATGATCTCAGACAGGAGAAGGCGCAGAGAGAGAGGCTCGCGAGGGAAAAGGAGATTGCCATCGCCGAGAAATTTACTGTTGAACAAAATTTGAGTGTAAGTTCTATTTACAATTCTATTTTATTCACTAATAAAATTTTTATTCTATTTTCCACTTTTTTGCTGCTAGAATTTTTTATATTTATTTCTAGTGATTTTTATTCAATTTTCCTTCGATTGAATTTAATTTTTTATTTTAGCATTTAATTGATAGGAATAGCTGGCCTCGGATATTATGACTTTTTCGACTTTTTTCAAAATTTTATTATTTAGGAAAAAAATTGAATTATCGCCAAGAATTTTGTTAAAATTTTGGAAAATTCTAATTAAATTCTATTAGATTCTATTAGTTTCGATCCGATAGAATAGAAAAGATTCGATTAAATTAATTTAATTAAATTCAAATTGATTCAAATTGGACTAATTAGATGCAAATTGGACTAATAAGAAAAGAGAGTAAAGATTGACTATTTTTTTTTAAAGGACGCTCGTTTGGAGATAGAATTAAAAGAAGAGAGACTGCACACCCTGACGCAAGAATTGGAGGAATTGACCTTCGGAGGGAAAACTGAGGAAGAAGTGGCCCAATTAAAGAAAGCGAAGCACGAACTCGAGAAGAAGTGTAAGGATCAAGAGGAAGAATTGGACGATTTAGCCGGACAGGTACAATTATTGGAGCAGGCGAAATTGAGACTCGAGATGAGTATAGAGCAACAGCGTAAAGAGATGCGCAAGGAAATGCAACAAAGGGACGAGGAACTCGAAGATGTGAGGGGAAATGCTCACAAAAAAGTCAAATCACTCGAGGCACAGCTCGAAAATGAACACGAGGAACGGACAATATTGTTGCGTGAGAAGCACGATTTAGAGAGACGATTGGTTTGCTTCGAGGAACAGGATCGAACTGATCGCGCTGCCGAGGCCGAAATGACGCAGAGGTACGAAAATTATAATTGTCCCGAAAAAAATGTAAAAAATATTGATTCTATCACACTTAAATAATTTAAAACTAATTCGTTTTTTATTCATTATTAAATAACTAGCAAATTATACGCGCGGAAAGCGGTATTCCAATTTTGTATTATTTTGTAAATTAAAAAATTTTATATTTTCAAGATTAAACACTCCATTTTTGAATGATTACAGATGTAAAATTTAAAGAATTACTCATTAAGTACATAATATTAAATATTCTTGTTTATTATTATTATTCAAAAATTGTAATTAAATTTTTCGCAAGAATTTCATTATTCTCATAAAAAAAATTCTTTAGAGCAATTCAATTATTTCCACTACATTTTTAATAAAATTTCTTGAAAGAATACAATTATTTTAAAAAATATTAATTAAATTCGATTATTTTCTAGAATTTTAATATAAAATCAATTATTTTCGACAATTTTGATGAAATTATTTTCAGCAATTTTGATTAAATTATTTAAAAATTTTTTTTTAAATTTTTAATAAAACTCCTTCTAAAAATTCAATTATTTTCAAAAATTCAGATAAAATTCTTCGAAACAATTCAATTATTTTTATGAATTGTAAAATCCTCCGCAAGAATTCAATTATTTTTGTAAATAATAAAATTCTTCTGAGAATGTAAATTATTTTCAGATACAATTTTAATAAAATTTCTAAGAAAAAAATTCAATTATATTCAAGATAATTTTAATAAAATTTCTCTAAACGGTTCAATTATTTTTTAAAATTGTAATAAAATTTTTCTAAACAATTCAATTATTCCCAAAAGTTTTTAATAAAATTCTTTGTAAAATTCAATTATTTTCAAAATTTTCAATTAAAATTATTTTCAAAAAATTACATTATTTTTACGAAATTTAATGAAATTTAAAAAAAAATGTAATTATTTACAAAGAATAATTCAATAATTATCGGGGCAAAAAATGTTTTAAAATTTTTGAATTCTTTCGAAGAATTCTTTAAAAAATGAATAGAATAAAAATAATTTAATTTCTAAAACGAATTTTATTATTTATGAATTAATTGAGTTCCTAAACAAAATTATATTGACATTTTTAAAATAATTGAAATCCTGAGAAAAATTATTATTAATTATTTAATTATTTGTGAAAATAATTGAATTCATGAGAGGAATTTTATTAAAATTTTTGAAAATAATTGAATTTCCGCGAAGAATTTTAATACTTTTGAAAATAATTGAATTTTTGTGGTGAATATTGTTATATGAAAATAATTGAATATTTCAAAGAATTTTAATAAAATTTTATAAGAATCATTACATTTTTAGAAGAATTCAATTAAAAATAATTGAAATTCTGCGATGAATTTTATTTTTAAAAAATTTCTTTATTTCCAAGAAAATTCAAATAAATTCTTCAAAACAATTCAATTATTTTAAAGAATTTTAATAAAAATCTTGCCAAGAAATAAATTATTTTCAATAAAATTTTAATTACATTTCCTCGAAATAATTCAATTATTAAAAAAAAATGTTGATTTTGCCCGTATGCTTTTGAATAAATACATAAATAAAATTTTTGAAATTAATTAAATTATTTTCAAATTTTTTTATAAATACTTTACAAGAATTCAATAATTTTCGGTACGTCGAAAATTTAATTATTTCTTAAAATAATTGAATTCTTGAATAGAATTTTATTAAAACTTTTTAAAATAATTGAATCCCTGCGAAAAAATGTATTATTTCTGCAAATAATTTAATTTTTGCATAATTTTAAAAAGTAAGTGGATTTTTTAGAAGAATTATTTTATTAAAATTGTATTAAAAATAATTGAGTTCTTATGAAAAATTTACTATTTATTGATAAAATTGAATTCTTACGAAGAATTTTAAAATAATTGAATTTTCCCTGGAATTTAATTAATATTGTATTTCAAATAATTGAGCTCCTATGAAAAATTTAATTATTTTTTTTAAATAATTGAATTTTCTTGGAGAATTTTCACAAGTTTTTTTTTAAATAATTGAATTTTTCGAAGAAATCCATTAATATTGTATTAAACAGAAGTAAAATCCTGATAAGAATTTTATTATTTATATAAAAATAATTGAATTTTTTACGAAGATTTTTATTATTTATAAATTGACTAAAGAATTTTATTACAATTATTGAAAATAATTGAATTCCTCATAAAACTCAATTATTTTCAAATTTTTTTATAAATTCTATCCAAGAATTAAATAATTTTTAATACGTCGACAATTTAATTATTTCTTAAAATAATTTAATTCTTGGATAGAATTTTATTATAATTTTTTAAAATAATTGAATCTCTGCGAAAAAATTTATTATTTTTGCAAAATTTTAAAAAAGCAAACAACAACTAATTTCAAACTGCGAACAGACTACCTTAAGACAACGATTATTAATCAATTATTAATATAAGAAGATAATGAATAAAAAAATTTTTTATATCAATAAAAATAGGAAAATTGCGAATATAATTTTAACATAAACAAATAAAGGAAATCGATTTTTCTACTTCGCGCAGATTGAAGAGGGACTTGAAGAGAACGAAGGCGCTATTACGAGATGCTCAAACGATGTTGGAACGTTCGAAGGGTGATTCGACTGGTAAAGCGGCTCTACGTCAACTCAAGAATCAATTGGAGGATGCTGAGTGTGCGAGAGCCGTGGCGGTGAAGGCAAAACAGGCACTGGAACAGGACTTGAACGAGACGCAAGCGGCGCTGGAAGAAGCTACTCGACAGCGTTCCGACGCTGAGGATCGAGCGAACGCTGCCACTAGAGAACGCGCCGAATTACTGTCTCAATTAGAAGAAAACGAGGAGGAACTCGCTGAGGTGAGAGATTCTCGACGAAAACAGAAATCTTTACTAATCTTGACAGTATAATTATTAAAAATTTTTTCTTTAAATTCAAATTCTTTTCAAACATTCGAATTTTCTTTTTCGAAATATTCAAATTAAATTTGGAAGTTGGTAAAATTTACAGAACTAGATTTAGAGAATGACAAATTCAACTAGATTACTGACTAAATTCACTGAAACTATTTGGTAAAACTTTTACTAAATTTACTAAAACTTGCAAAACACTAGAATTTACGTGACTAAATTTACAGAATTAAATTTAGAGTATAGTAAACTTTACGAGACTGAATTTAGAGAATGGGAAACTTTACGAGACTAAATTTAGAAAATAGTCAATTTTACTGGAATAAATTTAAAGAGAGCTAAACTTTACTACTGGACTAAATAAATATAATTTACTGGACCAAATTCTTAACTATAAGTTTTTTTCGAGACTATATGGAAATTGGATTTTTTTTTGCCTCAGGTATTGAAGAAATATCGAGCAGCAGTGCAACAGGTTTCTGCTGAACAGACACAACTTCAAGAGACTCAGGTACAGATGGCGGCTTTGGAAGCTGAGAAATCTTCTTTGAAAGATCAGCTTACAGAACTTAGTCAGCGGTTAGAGTCTGTGGAGCAACTTGGTGATCCTACCGCTAATAGTCTTGCCACGAGAAGGCTCGAGTTCCGAACGAAGGAGCTCGAAAGCAAACTTGAACTTGAACAAACTACCAGGGCACGACTCGAGGTATCACTTCTCATTAATTATTTCCGACTTATTCTCAATATCTTCGAAAATTAATAAGAAGAAAAACAAATTATTATTTAAAATTTTCCAAAATTTTCCAAAATTCTCCAAATTATTTTTTTTTCGTCGCCTTCAATAAAAATATACGAATTATAAATACTCCTTCATTTTAAGCCATTAACGGATATTATGCAAAGGATATTATGACTTTTTACGAATATTTTCAAAAAATGCAACTTTTATCGACTTATTTTCAAAAAATTCGAATTTTTCGACTTTTCTTACAAATTTTGCTAAAAACTACCATATTTTTAGGAGAAAATGCAATTTATTTGGATTTTTGTAGTGTTAAAAGCATAACTATAGACAAATCTTTGAGAAAATATTTTTGAATGATTCGTAAAAATTTTTGAAATATATAATTAAAAAAATTTTCAATAATCAAAATTTTGTAAAATTTAACTGAAAATAATTGATGTTTTCAATTATTTTATTATAATTTTTGAAAATCAACTTTTGAGAAGTTTTAATATTGCAAAATTAGAAAATAATTGAATTCTCAAATATTTTCAATGAAAAATCTTCAAGTGTAAATTTATAAATATGAAAATTAATGAAAATTAACTTCTAAAAATTATATTAAAATATTTTTGAAAAAACTAATACTTATAGAATTTTTTAAAATTCAATTATTTTCAATAATTTCAATTACTTATTTCTAAAAATTCACAAAAAACGTACAAAAAGAAGCGTACAAAAAAAAATAACATTAAAATTTTTTAGAATTTAATTATTTAATAAATAATTAATAATAATTTAATAAATTCAATAAAATTTCTAAGAAAAAATTCAATTCTATTCAAGATAATTTTAATAAAATTTCTCTAAAAGGCTCAATTATTTTTAAAAATTCTAATAAAATTTTTCTAAACAATTCAATTGTTTCCAAAAGTTTTTAATAAAATTCTTTGTAAAATTCAATTATTTTCAAAATTTTCAATTAAAATTATTTTCAAAAAATTAAGTTCATTATGTTTACGAAATTTAATGAAATTCTTTAAAAAATGTAATTTTTTTGTAAAATTTAACTGAAAATAATTGATTTTTTCAAGCAGTTTATTACAATTTTTGAAAATCAACTTTTGAGGAGTTTTAATATTCAAAAATTTGAAAATAATTGAATTCTCAGAAATTTCAATGAAAAATCTTCAAGTGTAAATTTATAAATATGAAAATTAATGAAAATTAGCTTCTAAAAATTATATTAAAATACTTTTAAAAAATCTAATATTTATAGAATTTTTTAAAATTCAATTATTTTTAATAATTTCAATTACATATTTTTGAAAATTCAAATACGTACAAAAAATAATAACATTAAAATTTTTTAGAATTATTTTTTACACTTTAGGGAAAAAAAATTATGTTCAACATTTTTTTTATTAAAATTCAACAAAAAAATTAGTTTCTTTTGAATTATACAAAAATTCTTTAAAGAAATTCAATTATTTTCGTAACATTGCAATGTTTTAAAAAAACTGAGTTTTATAATTGTTTCATTATAATTTTTTAAAATTCTTTTTTATTAGATTTATTTTTGTTCCAAGATAATTATGTTCGAACAAAATAAATTAACATTTTTTAAAATTTAATTTTTTACCATTTTTAAAATTTTGGAGAAATTATGTTCATTTTCGAAATTAAAATTTTTCGTAAAAATTTGATTATTTCTTTTTATATTTTTCAAAAATTCAATTATTCCTAAAAGATTGTACCAAATTTCAATTATTTGGAAATTTTTTAATTGTATAAATTAAAAATCTATAAACTTTCAAAAATCATTTAAAAATCTACTTAAAAAAATTAATTTTAAGAATATTTCTTTATTATAATTTTTTTAAAATAAGAAATATAGAAAATTGAATTTTTGTATTCAAATAATTGGAAAAAAAATTAAAAATAATTGATTTGGAAATGAAGTTTAGTTAAAATTTGTAGAAAATAATTTAATTTTGGAAGGGTTATAAGGGGCCGTACACATAATACGTCACGCGAACAGGGGAGGGGGGGGTCAAGACATTTGTGACGACCTATAGAAAAAATGGCGCTAATGTATGGGACAGTGTGTGACATGGGGGGAGGGGGGGGTCTAAAATGGTCAAAAATCGCGTGACGTATTATGTGTACGGCCCCTAATTGTAATTTTAAGAAATTATATTTCAGAAGGTTTTAATTGGAAATTTTTCTAATTTTTTCTAACCATGGAAAAGCAAATACCTAATAATTATTTAAATATTTATTTAACAAAATTATTCAAGTTTTGAAAAATTGAATTTAGAAATCAGTGAAAGGGGAAAATCAGGAGAATACAAAATAAAATTTTTGTGACATGCATTTGAATTAAATAAACGACTTTTTCGACTTTTTTTTTATTTTTAATCAAAAGTGAATTTTTTTTCTTGATCCTTAAAGTCTATCCGAGGTCTGCATTTATTAATAGAGAAAATAATAATTTAGAGAAATAAAATTGAGAGAGTATTTTTTTTATTGATTATTGATTTTTTTTAAAATTGTTTTGAAGTGAATGTGAGCAATAAATACTAAAAGAAAAAAAAATGATTGTATTTTTTAGACGCAAATAGCGAGACTCAAGGAGAGTGTGGACAAATTGCAAACGGAATCTGCATTATTGAGGACAAAGGAGCAAACTGCACAGGACGCCGCGAGAAGATTGCAGAGATCGCTTCGCGAGAGTAGAGAAGAGGCAACATCGGCAATGGCTCGTGAACAGGAGGCGACACGAGCTCGACGGGACGTGGAAAAATCTTTGGAATCTGCTGAAGCAGAGGCCAAAGTTATCAGAGACGATCTGAGGCTCGCCCTTCAGAGAATAGACGATTTGCAAAGTGCAATTCAAGGCGATCTTGACTTGGATTGCAGCGAGGAAGCGACTAGTGAAAATAGTGATAGGTAACGTCTTTTCCACTGATAAAAAAAAATTATTTCTAAACAAGGGAAATTTTTTAGGAGTTGAATTTTTTGATAGTCGATAAATTTTCTAAACAAGGAAAATTAAAAGAAGATTTATTCTCATAGGCGATAAATATTTATTTGTCAAATATTTATTTTGCCAAATAAAATATTTATTTGTCAAATATTTATTTTGACAAATAAATATTTGTCGCCTATGAAAATAGTTTATTTTTCCAAATAAAGGAAATACAAAATTTTCATAGACGATAAATATTTATTTTATTTATTTATTCGAAATTGTGTATAAAAATAAGGGAAGTTAACAAAAAGATGATTTTTTCTGATTACAGTGACTGATCCGAGTTGATAACGGACTTGGAGTCCGATGTGGAAAACGAAGAATAAAATTTGAAGAGATTAAAAGAAAAAGAAGAGAACTCGATTAATGAATGAATAATCGATGATTTGAAAAAGAAAGAAAAAAGAAAGAAAATCGACGCAGGAAAGCGTAGGTTGCATATATTATATCGTAAAAGCTCGCATCGAGCAATGTTAAAAGAGTTGAAGAAAGAGTTGAGTCTTAGCTCGTTTTAGCTCTCCATAACGAATAATATTCCATTAACGAGTAAAGGACTGATTGTAGTTCAAGCCATTGTTTCGCTTGATGAATCGCGAAACCATTTGTTTTTGTTTTTTATTATCAAAATGAGATTAAAAAAAACGTGAAGTCTGTTATCCATTTGGTGCTAACACGCACGACATATCGATGAATCGTCGACGATTCCTCGTTCTTCAGTCTTCCAAGATAAAGTCATCGGGACTACGTGAACTCTATCGAACTTGAATAGCATTTTTTCGAGTTCGACTGGTAAAAAGTGTCTCTAAAAATCGAAAATACAATTTTTAAAAAAATTTCTCCTAAAGGATTTTTCCTTCTACTTAGAATTATTTTTGTTTAGAAAAAAATTATTTTGTACAATGAATTCTTTTTCTAAGCAAAATTTCCATTTTAGGATTAAAAATTCTAAGAATTGGAATTCTCATTAGAAGAATTGAAATTCTGATAGAAAATTAGAATTTCGAATTAATTTCGAATTAATTTTTCTTTCGATAATGTTGATAGATTTTTTTGCATGTAAATTTTGTCGAGAGAATTTTTTTACCAGGACTTTCGATGCTGTCACTTCGGAAGGGGTGTGTGTTTCGTTAAATTATGAATTAAAGAAGCAAAAAAAAATCTCTAGAAGTAATAAGTAATGAAGAGATAATAAAAATAATTCATACATACACTCAACGCTTTTATACGTGAAAAAATAACACTTGTCATTTTCCTGTCATCAAATTATTAAATTAAATTTCTATATATGTATATGTATAAAAAAAAAGAAAACAAAAATACGTGTTTTAATTCCGTGTATGAATTTATGTAACTTATTGCTTTGTAAAATGCAGATCTTATTTAATTAAAAAATTTTGTCAAATTTTGTACCTTTTCTGGTCCTAATCCTCGACTAATTGTCGACAAATCCGTAGATTAATTCCATTATCATCAATATTATGATTATTATGATTGTTACGATTATTATTATTATGATTATGATTTTTATAATTATTTTTACCATTGTTATCTTTTGGGATTAAAAAAATTCATTTGAAGTGTCAACTAATCAACGAAGATTAGTAATAGAACGAATTATTAATGATTAATTTACTTGCTATTGATGGATTCTCATTTTTTTTTAAAGCGATTGTCGGACGAGTTAATTGAGAGGATTATTTTGCGTAAGTAATTGAAAGTTACTTTTTATTCAATGCCAAGAAAAGTGGCTAATTAGATCAGCGAGTTAACCAGACGACGGTCCTCTCTGCTCGTGACAAAATTACGTTTTAATAGTTGACGTAATAAGTGATAATTCGTTCGACCCAATTCTTCAAGAAGATAATAAAGAATTTCTGAATGAAAGACATCCTTTTTAATCGAATAAAATTTTTCTTTTATTAATCACACGAATATTACAATTACTAATTTCCAACCATTAAGAATTGCAAATCTCGATTTTTGTCGTAGTGATATTCTTCTTGACAATTGGATTTTTATTTATTGCTTTAAAATTATTAAATTAAATATATTTAATTTGAAATATAACTAAATTTAGTAATTAATAATTATTTGTAACAATTTGAAGAAATTGGTAAATTCGAATTCTTTCGATCGATTTTGAAAAAGAAAAAAAATTAATCATTTTGATAAAAAAGATAATTTTTTCAACGTCACGTATATATAAGGAATAGAAAAAATCCCTAATATAAATTCAACAACGATTTCATGAAAGTTTCAGCAGCGATTTCGTTGAATATCGAAATAGAATTGTAATTTTATTTGAACGTTGAATTTAATGCTAGTCTACAATGATACGTTATCGCATGAATATTCCAAATTAATTTCCACGCTTCAGTTAAAAACGAAAAATGAACATTTCTTTTTTTTTCTTTTTGTTGTAAATTTTCCAAATGCATTTAATTTTTTTATATTGTTTTCAAAACTATGTAGGGAGCAAAAATGAAGTGAATTATTTTCATTGATTTGTTATTTGAAGAGAAAACTCCATTATTGTGAAACTGATTTCTTTTAATTGTTAACGAATTGTAGGGCATGATTAAACGCGTGCAAATGGAACATTGAATTGCTGATTCGATGTGTGTATGTTTGCATTTGTTTGGCAATTGAGAATCGATCACAATTCTAATTTAATCCCAGTTCACTAACAAGGGGCTTTGCTTTTCAGTTCGATTTTTTAATTATGCAGAAGTAAAAAAAAAATTTTCTACTAATTTTTTTTTATAATTTTAAATGCTTTTGAATGCTAATTTTTTTAATACTTTTTTTTTAATTACTAATAATTTCTTTAATACTAATTTTTTTCGATTACTAATTTTTTTAATACCGATTTTTTCGATTGCTATTTTTTTAATACAAATTCAATTATTATAAGTTGAAAAGAAAATTAGAAAACTTAATTTTTTTTTTCTGTCAAATTATGTATTGAGTTGAACGTTATTTTTTGAAAATCGGCAATATAAAATTTTATTACACAGATAAAAATATGGAATATGGTCTAATACGGAATATGGGATGCAATTAAAGTGAAAAGTTATTATTTCCAGAAGATAGAGCAAATTGGATTACATTTTGGTGAATAATTTTGAAATTAGTGGCTACATATTTCAAAATTAAACACTCTTGATAATGAGCTGTAAAAGTAGGAAAATAAAATTTACTTTATAACTCGATCAAGTAATCCCAGCAGAAAATTGTCGTTTATGAAAATTTTAAACTCATCGTTTACAAATTTGACATTTATTGACTGAATTTTTTATCTCCAATTATACTATGAAAATAATGTTTAAATATAGAAGCATTTTCTATATTTTCTCCTAAGTGGAAAATTTTATAAGTTTTTTAGTATTTTAATTATTTAATTCATATTTAATTTTTTTTTGAATTATTAATATTAAATATTAAATAATAATAATAATAATAATAATAATAATAATAATAATAATAATTTTGAATACAAATAGCAAGACTCGTAGTGAGTGTAAAAAAAATAATAATATACAATAAATAATAAATAAATAGAAATTTATTATTATTATTTATTTAATTTATTTATTATTTTAAATATATTAATTTTTAGTGCTATTTATAATTAAATACTAATAATATATAATTAATAATGTTAAATTAAAAAATATTTTCTTATCTACAAAAAGAATAAAATTAGCTAAAATAAAAAAAGATTTTATAGAATCTTTTTTTATTTTCACGAATTATTTTATTTTATTTACACGAATTTATGAAAAACTATAATTTTTCAAAAATTCGTGTTTCAATAAAAATGAGGAACAAATGTTGATTAAGAAAATCGAGTTTATTAGTTCTAATCTAAAATTGTTGGCACAATTTTCATGTATACACTACACAACTATGTATATATGGTCAATTAAGATTTAACGGTATGATTAAATTTTAAAACTAGTTTTTCATTGTGCAATGTATAGTCGACTGTTCACTTTACTCACAAATAAATTTATAGGTATTTAACAAGAAAAACTATAAAAAATTGAAAAAAATAACAAAAAAAAGTAAAACATAATAAAATAATAATAAAAATAATAATTTTTTTTTAATCTATTATTTATTATTTATTTAAAAGAACTTTATTTAAACAAAAATATAATAATAATAATAATAATAATAATAATAATAATAATAATAATAATAATAATGATTATTTTTCTATATATTTATTAATAATTTTTTTGAATTAATTTTATTCTAATAAAGTTTATTCAAAAATAATAAAAAATTATTATTTCTTCGTCATTTATTAATTCATTATTTGCTTATTATTTTTGAATAATTTTTAATAAAATTCAGTCAAATAAGTGATTATAAATGCTTTTATTAATTATTATTATTAAAGCTATTTTTTTATTAACAGTATTTTAATAACATAATTAAAATTTTAAATAATAATTTTAATTTGTATATTAAAATTTTTTAGGATTCATCCTCTTGTTTCATAATTCGAGTTCAAAGGATGAAATAAAAAGTTTAGTAAGTATTTTTTTTCTATATTTCTTATTCCGAGAGAATTTAATAAAAAATTTTTTTTTCTGTTTTCCTCAATCAAAAATCGATTTGAAACACTTTTTACTGGTAAACGAATTTATTTCCAATATTCTTTTCAAAGAAAACTATTCGTCATAAAGAATTCTCTTTGACGAAATACTTGACATTTATATATTCATTTCTCAAATTATATTTTATTTCCATTTTCCACACAATTTTGCAGTTTTTATTTTAAATTAATTAAAATAATTTTTTTGTTTATTTATTTATTATTTTTATTTTTTCGTTTCTATATTTCTCTTCTTAAGTTTTTAATTAATTTTTTGTATATTTATATTTATAATTTTCCATCCAATTTTGCAGCTTTGATTTTAAATTTACTTTTTTTGTTTTTATTTCTTCTTCGTTTAATTATTTATCATTTTTTCGTTTTTACAATTTTATCTATTGTATTTTTTATATTTTTATTATTCCTACTTATCTTATTCATCACAAAAAATATTTGTTTACAAAAAAAAAAATAATTTATAATTTTCTTTTCATTTCGTTTGGCAATAAATATTTGAGACATGAAAAGTTTTCTATAGGACTTTGAATTGTATATAAAAAAAGTATATATGGAATTTCTTTCTTTCTTTCTTTTTAGTTTTCTTTTTCTTTTTTTTCTTTTTTGAACAAAAATTTTCAATTTTCTACTCAAAAGTTCGTTTTGCTTCTGTGGAGCGTTGCGAATCGACAGCTTTATCGACACAAGCGACGGGCGATCCATCAGAGCAATTACAGTTTGGAACGATAACTCCATATCGTTAGTTTTCAAACTGAGAAACCAACGTTTTACGATCAACTTCCGTTAAAATTCATTTTTCATCATGAATCATTCATATTTCAATTGTCTAATATTTCTGATATTATTGACAGGTAAACATCAGGAAACTCGCAACTGTCACTTTCGGTGAAATTTTCTTTTTCCCTATTTTTTTTTTTATAAATATATAAAATATTAGAGAAAAATTCTCAATTTTATTATTTTTCTTCAATCTAAACTGAGTTGAGATAAATAAAGAAACAAAGAAATATTGACAAAGGAAATAAATGAATAAAAAAAAAATTGGACAATTTTGAAAATTTTTCTTTTCCAATTATTTGATTATGACAATAATGAAATTAAATAGAAAAATAAATTAGTTTATTATATAATAGTTAAAAAATAAATACTGAGAAAATTTATCAAACTAATAGTAATTGAAATTTAATAACTTAATAATTTTGGCTATTAAGTAGTCGTTGTCACATTGGTCGCAGTCGTTGAGGCATTGCGAAGGGTAAATTTGTCATGCGTTCGAATCCCGCCGGATGTAAAGATTTTTACTCGAGAATGCAAATAGTAACTTAGTAATTAAATAATTGATAATTAGTAACCAAACATAATTCTAATAATAATACCAATAATATTAAAATAATAATTAACAAATGAATATAAATAAATAAAAAATTAACAATAAATAAAATAAATCAAAGAAAAACTAAATTAAGAATTAAAATATAAATTATCTTGGAAAATTGAGAAAATAAATAAACTTGAAGAAAATTGAAAAAAGAAATAAAAAAGAAAATGAAAAGAAAATAAATGACTTAAGAATAGGCATTAAAAAAGTAATTAAAAAAGTAAAATTATTTAATGAGAGCATAAGACAATTGAAATAGAATAATTAACAAACATGGCACGTTCTTTACTGCTGGGGTTAGATTGTTGGGTTTCGAATTTCGCTTTTCACTCAAGTTTCCTGCTCATTCGACTACAATTATGATTGCCTACTTATTATCAAAGTTGCGGATAAGAATAATAGTAATAATAAAATTAAGGCCAATAGTTGAAATAATAAAAAAAAAATTTCTAAAACAATCAGTATTAAATGTGAAAAAAAAAATTATTATAAATAATTTTTTATTTATTGTATTCATAAATATTGAACACTAATTTTGTTTAAATCACAATTCACTTATTAATTAACAACTATTTAAATAATCATTTGGTTTTAAGCACTGTTCATCGTTGATTGTTTTAATTTCTTTTTCATTTTAATATAATTTTAATATTAATTTCGTTTCAATTTTATTAAAAATTATTTTCATTTTGTTTAATTATATTTTAATTTAATTTAAATTTTTCATTTTATTTTCATTTCATTTTCATTTTATATTAAATTTTAATTATTCCTTTTGTTTACTAGAATAATAAACAAGAGACGTAAAGTTAACGTGGCAATATTATTATTAATATTAAAAAAATAATAATTGGTATTAATTATCATTGTTAATAAATAATTCCTATGAATTAATATTGTTAAATTCTATAAATTAAATTTCCCAATTAAATTACGTTTTTTAAAATTAAGTTTATATTATTTATTTTTTAATTATTTTGTAGAAAGAAAGACCTAATTAAAAAGCTCATTACAAAATAATTAAATAACAGTTTTAACAAAAATTAAATATTTTGAATTATTATTTCATTTCAATAATTAATTATAAACTATTATTTCAATAATTAATTATTGATTCTTTTATTTTTTTAAAACTGTTTTAAATTTTTTTTTTAATAAAAATGTCTAATTAAAGGCCTCATTACAATATAATTAAAAAACGGTTTTAACGAAAAGGAAATATTTTTATTTATTATTTTTACTTAATTAAAATTAGATTAAAAAATTATTTATCGATTATTTATTACTTATTAACTTGAGATAAAATAAAACAAATTATTTAATGAAATAAATAATTAGTTAAATAAATAATAATCAATAAATAAAAATTAACAATAAATCATATAAAATAATTCTTAACAAATGAAACGAATATTATAAACTAAAATACATCAAAAAAAAAAAATTACCAATAAATTTAATTAATAATTAATAAATAATAAAATACTAAATAAAAATAAATACTAATAAATAATAATAATAAAATAATTAATAATTTAATTAATTTTAATTAACATTAATTAAAACAATTCTTAACAAATGAAAAGAATATTATAAACTAAAATAAATTTAAAAAAGTTAACAAAAGAGAATTTTATATGCAAAAAGAATTGTCTCCTTTTGTTAATATTAGAAAAATTTTCAGAGGAAAAAAACTTTTTTTCCTGAACTTTATCTTTTGAAAGAAGTAAAAGAATCTTTTTTCCTCCTCCTCAGGGCTTTTTCCATAAAAGTAAAAAGTATTTTTTTCAAAATGAATTTTGCAGTATATAAATTTTTTTTTTTTTTGCACCAAAAAAAAGGGAAAAACGCAGTGTTACACTTGGATGAGAAGAGAATCATAGTGAAAGTTTTGTCGATTCTGGAGGCTGTCGAGTTTGTCTTTTAGTCACTCGGTCACAGTTTGAAAACGGAGCCGTTCGTGTTAACAGTGCGGAAACCATCTTCGCCTATATCTATATATACATATTAATGTGTACACTATATCAATCGAGGTCTTTGAACCTCAATCAAAACGAAATTTTACAAAAAAAATTTTCTATTAATTTCTAATTTCAATTTACAAATTTTTCATTCTATTTTAAAATAAAATTTGTCTTCTTTTTTCGAAAACATAATATTTTTTTGAAAACACTGCCAATTTTATGATATATTAATAAAGAGAGAAAGAGAGGGAGAAAAAGATAATAATTTTTCATTTTTTAAATAAATCCGAAACACTGTGTTCTTATTTATATTTATAAAAAAAAGTGACAAATTTTTGAAAAAATAAATTGCGAGTGAAAAATAGAAAACGTGATAGTGATAAGAGCGTTAGGAGTTTTTTTTTTATTAACTCAAGGTTATAAATTGTGCTGAGAACTCTTAATTGTTATCTAATCCAAGTGATATTTAATTTTTTAATTAACGAGACTCGAAATTATTATTAAATATTAAAGTTAAACTGCTTTTTTTTATTTATATTATTGGGAAAATATTGATCCTGGATTGAGGAAACAAGATCTTCTGGAATTATGCCATGAGTGTAAGAAAATTTTTTGAAAATTAAATAAATAAAGAAAATGGAAAAATAATTAGTAATTAATTAATTAGTAATTAATAAAGAGAAGAAAAATATAAATAAATAAATAATTACTATATTAACAAATAATAATAAGAAGAAGAAGTAATGAGAAAGAAGTAATAATAATTAAATTACTTAATTATTACTTACAGTTTATTTATTATTTATTTAATAATAACTCAACTGATTACAAATTTTTTTTTAATAAATAATTTAAATTCTCCTGCATTTTTCTTTTCACTTTTATCGCTGAGACGAAAAATTTTTGCGAGTGAGCGAAAAATTTGCGCGCAAACAATAATAAATTTGCAACATTAAGGAAGTGAAGAAATATGAACAATAATTTCAAACATAATATTTCTGGGAACTGAAGTTCAGGGGCAATTTTATTTAAAAACAAAACAAAAAGAGAAGAAATCTGCGAGAATCATGCGCAGAAAATTAAACGCGGAAGACATATATTTATCGATCAACGTTGTAGGCGAAGGTCGGGAAAATGGGTCAATGTTGTTCAGGATGTGAATTTGGATTTTCCATTATTTTGAAAAAATTTCAATTTTCATTTTTGCAATTTTTTTTTATTAATGTTGATTTCAATTATTATTTTTTTCAATATTAATTTCAATTATTATTGTTTTTCAATATTAATTTCAATTATTCATTTTTTTTCAACATTAATTTCAATTATTAATTCTTTTTCAATATTAATTTCAATTATTCATTTTTTTTCAACATTAATTTCAATTATTAATTCTCTTTCAATATTAATTTCAATTATTCATTTTTTTCAATATTAATTTCAATTATTATTGTTTTTCAATATTAATTTAAATTATTAATTTTTTTTCAACATTAATTTCAATTATTAATTATTTTTCAATATTAATTCCGATTATTCATTTTTTTCAATATTAATTTAAATTATTATTGTTTTTCAATATTAATTTAAATTATTCATTTTTTTCAATATTAATTTCAATTATTATTGTTTTTCAATGTTAATTTCAATTATTATTGTTTTTCAATATTAATTTCAATTATTAATTTTTTTTCAACATTAATTTCAATTATTAATTTTTTTTCAACATTAATTTCAATTATTAATTCTTTTTCAATATTAATTTCAATTATTCATTTTTTTCAATATTATTATTATTATTGTTATTATTATTATTATTATTTATTATTAATGTAAAAATATATAAACTCAATTTTAATTTCAACAGTTCAAAAAAATTCAAACTCATTTCCTTGTTCACATGAAACATATTTTTATTCAATAAAGATCAAAACGATAAATTTGTGTTTATTTACCTTTTTAAAAATAATCCAGAAAAATGTAATTTCAAATATTAAATCAATATTACGTGATGTTCAGGTAAATATTTAAGATAAATTATAAAATTTTTTTTCTGTAATAAAAAAACACGAGATTTAGGAAAACGAAAAATTTATTTAAGAAATAAAAAAGTTACATAAATAAAAATGTTGCACAAATAAAAATGTTACATAATTAAAAATACTTTACCAACTTTTAAAAAAAATTATAAATTAAACAATACACTGAAAAGATCATTTCAACTAAATAATTGACAATTATAATAAATATTTATTTGTACCAAAAAAATTATTTCTGTCAAATTTGTACATTTATTTGCCAGAGAAATTTGTTTAAATAAAATTTACAAACTGTATTCGAAGCAATTTTTGACTCAAATATTTTCGAATCAAAGATCTTTTGCTTCAAATATTTTATTTCTGATTAGTCATAAGTAAGGAATTATTTGAATCGAAACAAGTTTTCTCCACTTTACAAATTTACATTTTTTTAAGATTAAATTTTTTAATGAAAAATTTTTATTAACGAAAACTCTTTAAAATTAAAGATTATAATTAAATAATAATTAAAAATTAATAACGAACCAATTAACAACTGGTTCGAATATTTTCAAATCGAAAAATTAATTTCGAACTATGTACTCAAAAATTTGTTAGAATATTATTAAATTGAGAAATTAACTTTGAACCAATTTTCATTTGGTTCGAATATTAAATTGAAAATTAATTTCTAAACCATTTTTTATTTGGTTCGAATATTATTGAATTGAAAATTAAATTAAAAATTAATTTCGAAACCTATTTTAAAAACTGATGCAAATGTTATTAAATTGAAAAATTAATTTCTAACCAATCAAAAATTGTTTCAAATATTAGTTTGAAAATAAATTTCAAACCAATTTTCAAATTGTCCAAATATTATTAAATTAAAAGTTGTGTTGAAAATTATTAAACTAAAAATAAATTAAGATTCAATTAAAAATTGCCTTCAATTATTTAATTAAAAATTAATTTTAAATCAATTTTCATTTGTTTCGAATATGAAATTGAAAAATAATATCGAATTAATGGAAAATTGGTTTGAATATTAAGATAATAAATTTCGAACCAATTTCTAATTGGTTTGAATATTATTGAATTGAAAATTAATTTCTATAACCAAATTTTAAATTGGTTTGAACATTATTTTATTAAAAAACGGTTCACACTTCCGACTGCGAAGACTCTTTTTTTTGAAATAGTAAACGTTATCTACAATATGAATTCACTTGATGTAAATAAATCCTTATCACTGAAAAACGTGAAAAAAATAAATGTTGCGAAATTCAACAGGGCTTAACGCGAAGTTAAACAAAATAAAATTTACTCTTATTCACAAAAACACACCCACAAATTTTCAAAATATTAAATTTTCTTTTTTTCTTTCAAAAAAAAAATTTATTTTTCCTTTTTTTTTGTCAACGCAATTTTTATTTTGTTCGCAAAGCACAAGGAAATATTTTTCAAAAAAAAATAATTGTTCTAATCAAATATATATATAAATAATTTTTTATATTAAACCTGATGGTAATTGATTGAAACTTGAACGTGAGTGAGAGAAAGTGTGGAAAAAAAATTAGTCGAGAGAGGAAGCTTTTGAGGCGAATTTATAAATAAAACTTGAAATTGTCGACGCTTGCGCAAATGATAGTATACAGTATGAAAAATAAAGGTGGTCTCTATCTCTCTTTTCTATTTCAAAGACTATGGAACGTGTTTTTCATTAGTGTTATATTAGTCAGCAACATGTGAGCGATTGATTTTAAAGTTTAGAAAAGTTTGTGAGAAAATAAAATTATTTTTACCATTGATCATGATAATTAGTTATTTATTTATTGGAATTTTAAAAAAATGGCGAGTTTTGCTGAATTGGTAATTTTATTTATTTGTAATAAAATTAGAATAATGTTGTTAAAATTTAAAAAAAAGAAACGGTTTTTCATTTAAAATTTACATTATTGTCAATGAATATATTGTGTTCTGTGAGGTTGTCAATTGTTGCGTTTCAACGCATGTGCAGTTTGATAATTTCAAAATTTTTGTTTACTTTTGTTCTGTAATTTAATATTAACATAATTTTCTTTTGATTTTTTTTTTTTTGATTTTTCATTCTTTTACTCTTTTAATAAATAATTTAAAAATTTTATTTCTTGAAAATTAAGTGAATAAATAAAAATCAAATAAACAATAATAATAAATAAAAGGTGATAAATAATAAAAAGGTTTTTAAATTTTTTATTAAATTTACTAGATTTACTAAGTTTTTTAAACTCGATACTAAACTTGATACTAAATTTACTAAATTTACTAAATTTACTAAATTTACTAAATTTACTAAATTTACTAAATTTTTCTAAATCTGATAAATTGTTTACTAAATTGTTACTTAATCGATTATCTAAATTGTTCTTAAATTGTTCACAAAATTTTTTATTAAATTATTTACTAAATTATTTCTTAAATTGTTTACTAAATTGTTAGTTAATCGTTTACTAAATTATTTATAAAAGTTTTCATTAAATTTTTTACTAAAGTTAATTATTCGTTTACTAAATTATTTACAAAAGTCTTCACTAAATTTTTTTCTAAATTGCTTACTAAATTTTTTATATAATCATTTGTTTAATTGTTTATTCAATTGTTTATTAAATCGTTTACTAAATTATTTACTAAAGTACTGACCAAATTTTTTACTATCGTTTGTTTAATTTTATTGTTTATTCAATTGTTTATTAAATTGTTTACTAAATTGTTTACTAAATCGTTTACTAAATCGTTTATTAATTGTTTACTAAATTGTTGATTAATTGCTTACTACATTATTTTTTAATTGCTTCCAAAATCGTTTTTTAATTTTTTTTTTTATTTATTTATTGTTTATAAAATCGTTTGTTTGATTGTTTATTCAATTGTTTACGAAATTATTTATTAAATTATTCACTAAATTATTTACTCAAATACTGTCCAAATTCTTTGCTAAATTGTTCACACAATTGTTTACACAATTGTTTACTGAATTATTTATTGTATTCTTCACTACATTGTTTGCCAAACAGTTTAATAAATCATTTAATAAATTGTTTAAAAAAACAGGAATTAGTAAAAGTACTAAATTTTAGAAAATTAAAATTTTAAATAGTAAATTAAAAAAAAATTATTTAAAATAAATCTTTTTGTTTTTAAATTCATTTTTTTTTAATTAAAATTTTGTTAGAAATTTCTAAATATTTTCTACAACAATAAGATTTCTTCAAAAAAATAGAAAAAAATTAATTGCAATGAATTGAATTTAAAGATTAAATCATCGGAAGAAACGCTCAAAGAGCCAGGATTGGAAGCTGTAAATCTGCACAAGAAAAGTACAAGAACTCAATGGAAACAATGGTTGGCTTGCATTTCAGGTAATTAGACAATAAAAATTTTTTTCATTTCTATTTTTTGGAATTCAGAAAATCCTTTTTTTTCAAAAGAAAAAAAAAATTTTCCTCTACTTATATTTTATAATTTCTAAATTATAATAACATTTGATTGTATTATTAAAATTAGTTATTGAAATTATAATAATTATTCTAATTATTCTTCTGACTTATTGAATTTATATTGAATTATTATAATTACATAATTATTATGATTACAATAATTATTATAATTTTAATAATTTAAATAATTACTAGAATTATATTAAAAAAATAATAAAATATAATTTTCGACCGAGTGATAAATTCTACTTCATATATATAATATTATAATTATTGTAATGACAATAATTATAATTATCAATAATTAATCTATTACACTCAAAACATAATTAGGAAGAGGGGCAAAAAAATAATTCTGAATAATCAAAATTCTTCCAAAATCATTAAGTATTATATAAGTAATCATTAAGAAATTTTCACTTTAATGATTTATTAATGAAATTACTGCTTGCAGTTAAAAATTGTTTAATAATGTTTTCCTTAATTTAATTAAGAATTCAATACAGAAAAAACAAAATTTAAATTCATCGAGAAAATTTTTGGTATTTTCGATTTATTTAATTTATAATTGATTTAAATTATAATTATTATAATTATTAATTATAATTACCTATCTATATAAAAAATCCGAAACAATATTTTATTCAAGTGAAAGAAAAAATTAGATAAGAATTATGTTTGTTTAAAAATATATTCTAAATGTAAATTAAATATTAGTGTAATTAAATTAAATTATAATTAATTAAATATTAGTGTAATTAATTAATAATTATAAATAAATAATTATATTTTAATAAATTAATTTTCCAGCCACCTTATCGATGGTATCGGTGGGAACGGTTTACGGATGGGTTACCACGATTATTACTCGTTTAGAAAACGGAATAGATGTCCCAGTACAAACCACTTCAGATGAAGGATCATGGATCTCCTCCCTAACTGTCACAGGATCAATGCTTGGATCCTTTTTGGGAGCGTGGTTATCGGACAGGTATAAAAATAAAATTACTCGTCACTTTTTTTTATTCAGAGATTAAAATTTTTCAAAGAAAAAAAGGAATTGAAAAAAGAAAAACAAAAAAAAAACAAAAAATTAAAAAAAAAAGAATTGAAAGAAGAAAATAAAACCATATTCCAATTTTTACACATTCTTTGAAAGAAAATGAGAATTTTCATCGATAAGGTGATATTTCAATCATTTTCCAAGTCCTGTCTAATTGCTTTTTAATTATAATTTTTTGTTGAAGAAATCAAAAGTTTGTTAAGGAAAAAAATTATTTTTTGATTATTCAAAATTTTTCTCAATGATAAGAGAATAAATTCCAATTAAAAACTGAGAAAAATAATTTTACCTATATACTTATTTTAAATTACAGAGATAAGTTTGGATATTTTAATATTTTAGTAATTAAATTTATATTTTATTTAATTAAATTAATTAATTAATTAATAATTAATTAAATTAATTAACTTAATAATTAAAATTACTTAATTTGTTAATTATTTTTTTACTGTTTTTATTTTTAATTATTTATTTATTTCTAAGACGGACGAGTAGTTTTAGTTAACAAAAATTATTCATTGAAATAATAAATAATTAGTTAATAAAAATTATTTATTAATATATAAAATTGAACACTGTGAAAACAATATATTTGAATCAAAAATAATTATCTTCGTTATACAGTCAACCAAAAATTATTTTTGAATTAAAAATAATAATTTTGATTCAATCACAATAGGTTTGATTCAATAAAAATTATAAGTTTAATTCAATTATAAAATAACTTTAATTCAAACATATTTTTTTTGGTTGGTTACTTATTTTTTGATTAAAAATATTTTTTTCAGTGAAATTTAAAAAAAAAATTACCTATCAAAATAAAAAATCCGAAACAATACTCTATTCAGGTGAAAGCAAAAATTAAATAAGAATTTTGTTTGTTCAAAAATACGCAAAATTTAAATCAACTATAAATTAATTAGTGTCAGTGGTATTTGGATGTTAATTAAAAATTTTATTTTCAACAAAGGAAAAAAAGAAATTCCCATATTTCAAGGAATTTTATAGTCACAGTTAATTTTTTTTCGCGTGTATAATGAATTATATTTTTTCATTCTTGTCGAGAAGGAAAAATCCCACTTTATTAGTTTTTAGTATAGACGCCTTGCAGGGATCACGCAGTGGATTTTTCGTTCAATTTTAGATGAAAAAATGCGAGAATAGTTTTTCTTTTTTTTTTTTTTTTTTTTTGTTGATAAATGAAAGGAATTTCTGTTAATCAAGGAATATTGCATTTCATTACAACATTTTTTACTTTGAAAGAAAAATTTATTTCTTCTCTTTCATGCAGATATTTCAATATTTACGATTTATTTATTTATTATTTTATTCGCAGTATTATTTATTTTCTATTTTTAGGAATTTTTTTTATTTACCTATTATTATTTATTTAAATTGTTACAACTATACTCATTTTACTGCAAATTGTTAATTAATAATTTCATTCAATTATTTATCAATGTACTTTATTATTTCAATTTATTAATACTTTATCATTTCCATTTATTAATTTAATTATTAACTATTTATTTATTTCAATTTATTATTAAAATTATTAAACTTAATTTAAACTGAAAACGATAAAACAGCAAACGAGAAAATTGCACACAATTAGAAATTACAAAATTAAAAATGAATTAAAATTAATTTGTAACTGTTAAAATGCACACGAGAAAACTGCATACGAGAAAATTGCATGCAAACAAATACTAAAAATAAAACTATGATATTTAATTGAATAAACAGTAGAAATTTAAATTACATACGAAAAAAAAATTGCATACAAATAAATATTAAAATTAAAACTATAAAATTTAATTTAGAAACTGCAGAAATTTAAACTTTATAAGAAAAAAATGCACAAATTAAAAATTACAAGGTTCAATAAAAAAATTAATTTAAACTGTAATACAAGATTATTTTTAATAAATTTAATGAAAATAAAATTTTATGCAGTTCAAACTAATTTTATATACAACTTCTACATGAATTCTACTAAATTTGAGTGATTTTTAATTAATCAGAAATTAAATTCGTGAAATAATATTTTTCAACTTTATATTATTGTGTATATTTAAATTTTACATTTGATTTATATTACAAATTTTAGGCAAAATTTTACGGACCAAAAATAAAAAAATTATGGACCAATTTTACATCAATTTAATTTTCGAAAAAGTTCTTCGTCAATTTTTAAAATCCATTTATTTCCAATATTCAATTTTACAAAATTTCAATTATTCGTAAATTCTGCAATTAAATATATATTAAGAAATAAAAACTTCAAATAATAAAAAAAAAATTCAATTACACGTTTTCAAAAAATGTAATTTCAAAATTCAATTATTTCTAAAAATTCAAGCTATATTGCTTTTAATATTCAATTATTATCTAAAATTTTAACTGAAATTCATTTTTAAATCTATTTTTAGTAGAAAATTCTACTAGAATTCAATTGTTTAAATACAAAATAAATAATTTACTGAACAATTGAATGTTTCTTAAAATTCAAAATTCTCATAAAGAATTTTACCAACATATTTTTAAATAATTGAATTCTTTCGACGTATTTTAATAAAATTTTTAATAATAATCATTCCTAAAAAGAATTTTATTATTTACAAAAATAATTGAATCCCTGTAATAATTTTATTATATTTCTAAAAATAATTGAATTTTTGAGAAATTTTTATTATTTTATGAAAATAATTAAATGTTTGCCTAGAATTTTATTAAAAATTTTTTAAATAATTGAATTCTTTTGGAAAATTACATTAAAATAATAGATATATTGAAAATCATTCAATTGAGGAAAGTTTTTGAAAATAATTGAAATTTTACAAAGAATTTTAAAAAATTTTTTAAAATAATTGAATATCGGAGAAGAATTTTATTATATTTATTATGATAATTAAAATTTTGACTAGAATTTTAAATAATTTTTGAATACAATTGAATTTCTGAGAAGAATTTTATTAAATACTTTTCAAAATAATTGAAATTCTGCATTGAGTTTTATTATTTATGAAAATAATTGAATTCCTAAGAAGAATTTTACTATTTTTTAACATAATTAAATTTTTGCGAAGGATTTTCGTACTCTTGAAAACAAAATTGAATTTCTGCAATAATTTGTAACTACTCCAAAATTTAATTTTTTTTACTGTTAACTAAAATTTTTCTATAAATCCATTATTTTTAATAATTTTTAAAAAATTTTTTTGAGAATTTTCAATTTTATTTGATTTTAACTGAAATTCATTGTTAAATTAATTTTTATTAGAAAATTCAACTAGAATTCAATTATTTAAATACAAAAAATAATTTATTGTATATTTGAATGTTTCTTAAAATTGAATTTTCATAAAGAATTCAATCATCATATTTTTAAATAATTGAATTCTTTCGACGTACTTATTTTAATAAAATTTTTGATAATAATAATTACATTTATCGAGCAATTCGATTAAAATTTGATTAAAAATAATTGAAATTCTGCAATAAGTTTTATTATTTATGAAAATAATTGAATTCCTAATAAGAATTTTATAGTTTTGAAAAATAATTGAATCCCTGTAATAATTTTATTTTTTTGTAAAAATAATTGAATTATATTACGAAGAAATTTATAAAAAATTTCTAAATAATTGAATTTTTTTGTGAAATTTTTATTATTTTATGAAAATAATTAAATTTTTGCGTAGAATTTTATTTAAATTTTTTTAAATAATTGAATTGTTTTGGAAAATTTTATTAAAATAATAGATATATTAAAAATCATTTAATTGAGGAAAATGTCTGAAAATAATTGAAATTTTGCAAAGAATTTTATTATAATTTTTTTAAATAATTGAATTTTGGTGAAGAATTTTATTATTTACAAAGATAATTGAAACTTTGACTAGAAATTTAATAAATTTTTGAACAGAATTGAATTTCTGCTAAAAATTTTATCACTTTGGAAAATAATTGAATTTTCCAATCATTTGTAATTTCTCTAAAAATTTTTAAATTATATCGTACAACTTACGGACTTTTTGTCCTTTTTTAATAAAATTACGGAATTTTTTTTTCGAAAAAACTGACTTTTACGGATTTGAATTAAATTACCGGACCTTTACGGGATTTACGAATCTAGTTCGAGCCCTGTAGTAATAACCATATAATAATATAATGTTAAAAAAATTATTTCACGAAATTTATATTCTTTCTAATTAAAAATCATTAAAATTTAGTAGAATTCATGTATTTAAGAAATTCTATAGAATCGTTGTAGTAAAATTCTATAATATTGTATAATTCACTAGAATTCATATAGAATGATTCTATACAATGATTCTTTAGAATGATTCTAGTGAAATTCTACAGAATTTTTGTAAGCTGGGAAAGATGCAAAGCGAGAGCGGAAAATACTTTTAAATCCATAATTCTTGATTCAGTGCATATAGCAAAAGTAATAACAAAAAATATAATAATATCCCTCTGGGCAAAAAACTATGTTCGTTCCAAAAATGTGTTCTTAAAATGTTTTTAGAACTTTTCATGTTCGTCCAAATATTTTTCTGAGAACATTATTTGAATATTCATGTTCTTAAAATGTTTTGGAATCATTTCTTGAACATCCAGGTTCTAAAAATGTTTTGGAATCATTTTTTGAACATTCAGGTTCTTAAAATGTTTTGGAACATTATTTGAACATCAAGGTTCTTAAAATGTTTTGGAACATTAATTGGACGACATGAAAGATTTTAAAAATGTTTTAAGAACATTTTTGGAACAAAAACAATTTTTTGCCGAGAGGGATAATATAATGCAATATTAACACAGTTTTCTTAAAAGTTTCAAATCGATACTAAAGTCAATCAAATTGATGCAAAAAATTTGTATCACTTTTAGATTTGATCCGTATTTTTGGTATCAATTCATTGCAATTTGATACTTCTCAGTTAACAATGAAAAAAAAATAATAAAACTTAAACTAACCTTTCTCTGTTCCAACAGATTTGGTCGCAAGCGATGCCTCCTTCTCTCAAGTATTTTCTACATATCCGGCTGGACTCTGACAATATTCGCCTGGCGTGTCGAGTCCCTCTATGCAGCAAGAATAATTCTTGGTGTCGGCGTTGGCATGTCCTACTCAACAAATCCCATGTACGTCTCAGAAGTTGCTGACGTAAAAATTCGCGGTGCCCTAGGAACACTAATAGCAGTAAACGTCTTCACTGGTTCATTATTAATGGTCTCAATTGGACCATGGGTATCATATCAAGTACTCGGCTCAGTTGCCCTTCTAATCCCCCTAATATTCGTCATTGTCTTCCTCTGCTTTCCCGAGAGTCCCTACTATCTCGCGGCAAAGGGCAAGCATCAAGAGGCCATGAGTGTATTGTCCTTCTTCAAAGGAATCGAGGACAGAGAGGAGGTTCGCAAAGAGCTCGACATCATTCTCGAAACGATAAATCAACACAGCGAATCGTCGGGCAATTGGAAAGAACGTTTTCATCAATTACTGATGCAAATGAATAATCGCAAGGCACTGCTAATTGTCAGCGGTCTTCTTCTCACTCAACAATTGAGCGGTAATTTCAGTATGATGCAGTACATTCAAAATCTTCTCGAGAAAACAAATAATATTGGATTGGAACCACATGTGTCGACTATTATTATTATTGCATCGGGTCTCGTTGCAGGAACGGCGGCAACATTAACTGTCGATAGATTCGGTAGAAGGCCATTGTTAATGTTCTCAACAATTGGCTGTACAATGACATTGGGAATTTTTGCCACATATCTTTATATTGACAGTACACACGTTGACATATCGTCGGTGAATTTAATTCCAATTATTGATATGGTTCTATTTCAAATTGCATTTCAACTTGGTTTGGGTACATTGCCAAATGCATTGATTGGCGAACTTTTTCCTGGTAATGTGAAAGGAATTGCTGCAGCGTCGCTCACTGTTCTCGATGGAATACTCACATTCACAGTTGTTAAATTATATTCACCAATAAGTAATGCGTACGGTGAATATATGATGTTTGCAATTTTCACCATTTCCTGCTTTCTCGCATTCTTCTTTGTTTTTGCATTTATACCTGAAACGAAAAAACGAACATTAAATGAAATACAGGAGATTTTAAGCCAACAGGGACTTGGATGTAGAAGAAGAAATTGTAAATAATTATGAAATTTAATAGTTTGATAAAATAAATAATTGAATAATAATAAAATAAATAATTCAATAATGATAAAATAAATAATTCAATAATGATAAAATAAATAATAATAGCTGAAAAAGTTCTAAAGAATTTCACTAGAATCATTCTATATGAATTCTAGTGAATTATACAATTATAGAATTTTACTACAACGATTCAATAGAATTTCTTAAATACATAAATTCTACTAAATTTTAATGATTTTTAATTAGAAAGAATATAAATTTCGTGAAATAATTTTTTTAACATTATATTATTATATGGTTATTACTACAGGGCACGAACTAGATCCGTAAATCCCGTAAAGGTCCGTAAATTTGCTTCAATTCCGTGAAAATCAGTTTTTTTGAAAAAAATATCCGTCAAGTTTGTAATTTGATTCAAAAAGGACGAAAAGTCCGTAAATTGTACGATATAATTTGGAAAATTTTAGAGAAATTAAAAATGAGTGAACAATTCAATTATTTTCCAGAGTAATAAAATTTTTAGCAGTAATTCAATTCTGTTCAAAATTTTTTTAAAATTCTTAACAAAATTTCAATTATCTTTGTAAATAATAAAATTCTTAACAAAATTTCAATTATCTTTGTAAATAATAAAATTCTTCTACAAAATTCAATTATTTCAAAAAATTTTAATAAAATTCTTTGCATAATTTCAATTGTATTCAAAGATTTTCCTCAGTTTAATGATTTTCAATATATCTATTATTTTAATAAAATTTTCCAAAAGAATTCAATTATTTAAAAAAATTTTAATAAAATTCTACAGAAACATTTAATTATTTTCATAAAATACTAAAAATTTCACAACAATTCAATTATTTACAAATTTTTTAAAAATTTCTTTGTAATATAATTCAATTATTTTTACAAAGAAATAAAATGCTTACAGGGATTCAATTATTTTTTAAAATTATAAAATTCTTTTTAGGAATTCAATTATTTTTATTAATAATAAAACTCATGGCAGAATTCCAAATATTTTTAATCAAATTTTAATCGAATTGCTCAATAAATGTAATTATTATCAAAAATTTTATTAAAATAAGTACGTCGAAAGAATTCAATTATTTAAAAATATGATGATTGAATTCTTTATGAAAATTGAATTTTAAGAAACATTCAAATGTACAATAAATTATTTTTTGTATTTAAATAATTGAAATCTAGTAGAATTTTCTAATAAAAATTGATTTAAAAATAAATTTCAGTTAAAATCAAATGAATTTGAGAATTCTCAAAAAACTTTTTCAAAAAAATTATTAAAAATAATGGATTTATAGAAAAATTTTAGTTAATACTACAAAAATTGAATTTTGGAGTAGTTACAAATTATTGCAGAAATTCAATTTTGTTTTCAAGAGTAAGAAAATCGTTTGCAAAAATTTAATTATGTTAAAAAATAGTAAAATTCTTCTTAGGAATTCAATTATTTTCATAAATAATAAAACTCAATGCAGAATTTCAATTATTTTGAAAAGTATTTAATAAAATTCTTCTCAGAAATTTAATTATATTCAAAAATTATTTAAAATTCTAGTCAAAATTTCAATTATCTTAATAAATATAATAAAATTCTTCTCCGATATTTAATTATTTTCAAAAATTTTAATAAAATTCTTCTCCGATATTCAATTATTTTCAAAAATTTTTTTAAATTCTTTGTAAAATTTCAATTATTTTCAAAAATTTTCCTCAATTTAATGATTTTCAATATAACTATTATTTTAATAAAATTTTCCAAAAGAATTCAATTATTTAAAAAAATTTTAATAAAATTCTACGCAAACATTTAATTATTTTCATAAAATAATAAAAATTTCACAACAATTCAATTATTTACAAATTTTTTATAATGTTCTTCGCAATATAATAAAATTATTTTTAGAAATATAATAAAATTATTACAAAGATTCAATTATTTTTCTAAACTATAAAATTCTTTTTTGGAATTGAATTATTTTTATAAATAAAAAAAATTTCAATGATTTTTAATGAAATTTTAATCCAATTCCTCAAAAATACGATTATTATTAAAATTTTTATTAAAATTCGTCAAACAAATTCAATTATTTAAAAATTTGTTGACAAAATTCTTTATAACAATACAAATTTTAAGAAACATTCAAATATTTAATAAATTATTTTTTTATATTTAAATAATTGAATTCTAGTAGAATTTTCTAATAAAAATTGATTTAAAAATGAATTTCAGTTAAAAACAAATAAATTTGAAACTTCTCAAAAAACTTTTTCAAAAAATTATTAAAAATAATGGATTTATAGAAAAATTTTAGTTAACACTAAAAAAAAAATTTATTTTGGAGTAGTTACAAATTATTGCAGAAATTCAATTATTTTCAATAACAATAAAATTTAATTTTGTTCAAAAATAGTAAAATTCTTCTTAGGATTTTCATTATTTTCAGAAATAATAAAACTCAATGCAGAATTTCAATTATTTTGAAAACAATTTTAATCGAATTTCTCGAAAAATGTAATTATTCTTAAAAATTTTATTAAAAATCGTCGAAAGAATTCAATTATTTAAAAATATGATGATAAAATTCTTTATACGAATTAAATTTTAAGAAACATTCAATTGTTCAATAAATTATTTATTTTTGTATTTAAATAATTGAATTCTAGTTGAATTTTTGAATTAAAATTTATTTTAAAAATGAATTTTAGTAAATAATTGAAAATAGTTGAAAAATATTATTTCACGAATTTAAATTCTTCCTATTAAAAAATCACTAAAATTTAGTAGAATTCATGTAGAAATTCTATAGAATCATTCTAGTGAAATTCTTTAGAATATTCACTATAGAATTCATTTAGAATGATTCTGTTTGCATTAAACAAACTTTATTTTCTCAATACAATAAAATAATAATAATAATAAAATAGTGATAATACATTTTTTATAAACACGAAAATAATGCTTTACCTGGATCAGATATAAGTTTCTCTATATTAGAGAAAGTTTCTAACTGAAATATCGAAAAACTTTGCGCTAATATAGTGAAAATTATAGTTGTTACAATTATAGCTCTTTTTTCGTGAGTGATAAATTTTATTTTCTATTATTACTTTTTTTTTGAAAATATTTTTTAAGAAGAAAAAAAAATTTTTCTAAATAAAAAAAAAGGAAAAATTTACAATCTAAATCAAAGAATATTGTAATAATAAATTAAATAGAACATTCTGTAATTTATTACGAATTTATTTTCAGTTTTGAATTTTGTTTGCGATTATTTTTCGTTTAAGTGGAAAATTGTAAATATAAGTAAAAATTGAAGGCTCCGAACAAATTTTATTTTCTATTTTTTACTAATGTTTTATTAAGATTTTTATTTTAGAAATTTAGTTTGTGTTTACATTTTTATTTTTATGTTACTTTTAGTTTAAAATTGTATATAAATAATTACTGTTAAAATAATAAAAGGAAAATATAATTATAATTGAAAGCGTCGAACACCGTGAATATGTCTCTTTATAGAAAATTATTATTATTATTATAGTTTAAAGTACAATTAATAAAAGTTACTGGTAATTAATAGATCAAGTGTTGTTAAATAACAAAAGAAAATTTGAGTTACATTTAATTAATTTTATTTTTAAGAAACACGTATTAATTTCAATGAAACGTTGTTTCAAAGTTACCAATTATCAAATAACTAATACTGAATGAGAGCAATCATTGCTTTCAATTGCTAATGATTGAAACTACCATTATTAATTGAAGCTAACATTGTTCGAATCTGTAATTAATTTTAATAATTACTATTGTCAATTTATAACTATTATCTATAATTTTTTTGTTATCGCTTTTTATTCATTAATTATTATTTTTTTACTATTCGTTATTATTTTATTATCTACTATTAACTTTTCATCTGAATTTATATTTCATTATCTGTTATAATCTCTACTTATATATTTAAATAAATAAACAATGACTTGCAATAATTTTGATTTCAGTCAATTTAAATTCTATTTGTCTAAAGCATAAAATTTGATGATGAAAATAAAATTTATTCGATTGAAATAAAAATTATTACGTTCAAATAATTATTGTCAAATAAAAATTTATTTTCTACTAGAGCATGAAATCAATTTTTATTGAAACGTAACAAATTATTTTTAATCAATTAGTATGTAAGTGAAATTTTTTGAATATCGAGTTGGAACTCGATTTGTATATATACAAATGTTTCAATGATTGTTCTATAATAACTGTAATTAAATAAATTGATTCTTTCACATTTTTAAGTGTTCTTGTATTTATTTTAAACACAAAAATTTTATTGCTTGTTATTATAATCCAAAAACGAAAATATTCAGAAAAATTTTCAATTACTAGAATTCACATTCACCATAAAATTAAATTTTTATTTTTTAATTCTCTTATTTCACTTTCTTTTTCTTTTTATATACAAGAAAAGGATGATAAAGAAAAAAATTAGAAAACATTAAGTTTTTTAATCAACAAATTATAATTTTCATAAATTTAGATAATAATGTTGAATTTTTTTCCCTTAAAATTGGTTATTAAAAAAAAAAATTTTGTTATTTGTACTTATTCATTTTTAATTGCAATTATTTTTTTTATATTTATATTCTTTATTATTTGTATTTAAAATTTTTTGTTTGTTTTCATATTTTATATAAAGTTATTGTATTTATTCTTTATTTCTTATTTTTATTTATTGTTTTGATTTATATTATTTGTATTTTTTAATTTATTTATTCTTTTTTTAAATTATTTTTTTTAAAGTTATTGTATTTGTTCTCTAATATTTATTTTTTATTAATATTTTCATAATACACGAACGTAATTCAATGTAACAAAATTTTTTTTTTTACTAAATTTTCTTTCTTTTCAAAGAGGAAAATAACTATAAATTTTGAAAATTCTATTTAAAGTGAGATTCGATATTGTTATTAACAAACAACAATAGAAAATGTGGACATTGAGTACTTGCGTGTTTTGTTCATATAATCTGCTTTGACTGAATAGGTGAGGTCAACGTGATCATTGATGTGAATATTTCGTTTGTGGAT